AAAAGTATAATTTTGCAACAGTATGGCCCTTTATGAGCAAATAACAATTGCAGCTCTCGATGTTGAAGATTTCGAACTAGCACAAGTAAGAGACAAAAAGTTGGAAAGGGACTTTAGCGAATATTTAGAAGCTAATGTGAATGGTGGGGGGGACGTCGGTTGTTTTTACTATTTTAGCACTGTCTCGATCAACTGCAGGCCGGTTTGGGGACAGTTCACTTCGACTACAACGATTAAAGGGCATGTTTTTGGAAGCACAAGGAAAACTAGGACGAGGCACAAACGGTGTATGATAGCATATTGGAGAAGGATGCAACTCATTTGGTAACCCAAGATAAAAATAAGTCATGTACAACAACAATGAAAAATCTATGAAAGTTGACATGCTATATGTATATGCACGCTCTAGTTGGCTTCAAAACGTCAAATTGTGCTCCTAAAGGAACGGAACAAGACGGAGGAAGCAATTGCAGCCATGACGGAATACTTGGATACCTACTACGATGACCATGAAGGATGGATTGAACTTTGCAACATGTATATGGACCAACATTACTATGAACAAGCCGCATTTTGCTGCGAGGGAGCTGATCATTCTCCAGCCTGCCAACCACATCTGGTATCTCAAGTACGCCGAGATTGTCTACACACTGGGAAACTGGTCGTTGGCAATGAAGCATTATTGCAAGGTGTTGGAGTTGTGTACGGATAATGTGCGGGCACTCTATGGCCTGCAGCTGGTAAGTCCAACTTTTTCCAATTTGTTGATCTGTTTGAGATGTGGATGACCACTTGTTTTGCTAACAGCAAGACACCAACAACAACAACAACAAATACTTGACATGTAGTGTGCATCCAAACTGACGGGTGCAGATCATGGAGGAGACCTACATGCCCTTGCCACAGAGCGGTTACTTGCTGTGTACTCTAAACAACCCGAGCACGTTCGCCAGTTGGTCCAAGATTACCTTGCTAAATGATGATAAAAATAACCAGAAGCCAACATATATAAAGGATGCAAATCTTTTTTAATAGTATCTAAAGCGACTGAAAAAGAAAACAGACAACTGATAAAATAATGTAGTGTACAGAAAAATGGCAATGAACGAGTAGAAAGATAATGAAACGGTATCACAAATCGATATAGGCAACGACGACATCTATCAAGTAGCTTTTTTCTCGCTCTCTCTCTCGGTGAAAAGGCGGGTGGATGGATGCTTTTGGGTGGTGACGGTGGTTTGGGGAAGGCGGGGCAGAACGGAAGAGAGCAAAGGGGCGAAGGATGCTTTGGTAACACACTGGTATGGTCGTGTTTGATGCAACCGCACACAAAGTGCAACAGCAACAGTTACTGAGCCCAGGAGAACACTGTCATGAGCTGACCAGGCACAGGCAACCCTTTTTCGAGGACAGGCTCAAGACTCATCACCCTGGTAGCTTCGGGCGAGGCCGCCTTGCAAATGACGATATCCAAATCGGTTCGTTTCAGCGTGGATGCGGCATCGAGCATGATTTGACGGGCCCACTTGACCTTGCCGCCCATGCCGCCAGTAACGTCGACCCCGGTGGAGACAGGGGCCAAGCGGCGTTGTTTTCTGTTTGCTGCAGTCTTGGTTGCACTGCCGCGTTTAGGCAAACGCTTGTTGTTGTTGTTTTGTTGTTGTTCTCCTCCTCAGCGCGGAGTGTTTGATCAGCTTGGGACGCTTTGTCGTCTTTGGATCTGCATCATAGATGCCTTCCACGTCGGTAACAAACACGCAGCGCGTGATGTTGGGCATCAGCATGACGAGCTTGTGCATGACAATATCGCCTGAAAGAATGGTGCAACCGAGCGAGCGATCCAGAACAGCATCTCCGTGCAACAATGGGATGAAACCTAGTTTCAGGTACTGGCTCGTGCGGTTGGCGAGCTTCTCAAAGCATGCGTTCGGGCTCTTGTCTCCACCGTCCGTCTCCAAGTGCTCGAAGGGTGATAGGCCAAGGACCGGGAGGCCACGCTGTTGCAATCGCGAAAGTAGCGCCAGATGCAGCTCCAAAAGACACTTGCGCGTATGCGCGAATCCTGCCTTTTGGTCCAGCGGATCGTCGTCGTCGGCACTCGTCAAGGGTGGTGTGGATAGGCCAGAGGTTGTTACCCAGCCTGTTTGAGATTGTATTGGCGGGCCTGAGGGTGTCCGAAGCTGCCGGCGCCATGGATGAGGATGAGGCGGTGGCCTTGCGCAGAGAGATATTCGTGGGCTTGCTGGATCTGTTGCATCAACGCATCCAGTGTATGTTCATCAGCGAGTTGACAGGAACCCTTCTTGTTGGTAATTGCCGCGCCGCCAAGTTTGATGATGACAGTTTCATTGTTATGTACAAGTCGATCAGTCGAAGAAAGGAAAGGGTCAGGGGCGTTGGAAGTAGCAGCGAGTAGCAGGTAAGTATGGTCACCAAGAAGTTGGCTTCTGATTGCAAAGTAGTAAAGTGAGAAGAAAAAGAAAGCAAGAAACGCGAGACGAAACAGGGAAGCTTAAAATAGCTTTTCCCAAAATCCAGGGCCAGATCCCAACTCTCTCTCTCTCTCTCTCTCTCTCACCCCCAAACAGCCCCCTCCCCTCGTCTCCCCCTCACGCTGTCCCCACCCCCCAAATGATGGATGGATGATGCACAATTGCCCGAGGTGTCCCCGGGGTCTCTTCATATTCCACATGCTTACGCGTTATCTCATTTGCTAGAAATCCCTTTCATACGCATTGCCGAGAACTGGCAATGGTAACCACGGAGACCGTTCCTTTTCCTACTTTTGCTATCTCACAGCACATATCATACCCACACCTTCTTCTACTCGTCAGTTGCTTTGTTTACACTGCTCATTTATTGTGTGTAACTTGTTTCACAAGCCGGACTAGTATGGGAACGAGCACGGACTAAGAAAACATTCAGGCTAATCGAGCAGCAACCACCAAACCTGTCAAAAAACCTGTACGCAGGCTACACATTGTTCTTTTGGGCATTTATCATTGCTCAATTGTCTATTGGTTATCAGAGCCAAATAATACAATATACTTGCAGATTTAATCATGCGCGGAGTCTAGCTTTTCATTTACAATGGCCTGTGCGATCTCAAGTTTGTTTTTTTTTGTGCTTTTGTATTACCCAAATGGCTTTACTCCTTAAAATGATTATTACTCGCTTATTAAACAGGCAAAACCATCTAGTATAAGACGTTTTTCAGTACAAGAAGCAATTCCAATGCATTGGTATGCAATACTGATGTGGGTCCACACACAAAGTGTCGATCATCTACTTTAACTGTCCATGCCACGTTAAGGTGGTTTTTTTTTTTTTACTTTGCGTCAATCTTTTCGAGGTTATTAGCATCACCAGATACTCGCGTTTGACCCAGTCCGAGACCCGGTAGCTATCTGTACGCACGCTTAACTCTTGGAACAGGCATTGTCGCACAACACCATGCTGATCTTCGCACACCTGCTCCGAGGAGGTGGGTGGCTTCCGATGTGACTTTTAACATCATCACCATCTCCATTGTTGCACAACGCCTACTGTCACTATTGCTATCCGCCTATTGCTGCTAATGGTCATGTCATTAATGACTAAAGATTTCTCTTCTAGCTCCTTACTTCAAGATAACACTTTTTCTCTCCCTCGTAGGGTTTCCCTTGACCTCCTCTTCGTAAACTCTCCTTGATCACAATTTTTCTCGTCATCATCACTACGTATCACACCAGCTACTGTATTTATTATCTCTCATCGGGCGTAAAGCCGCGTCTAGGGCGATTGTCGCTCCTAAAGGGAGTATCCCTGTCAAGAAAAATGCCACGAGCTACGATCGAATGGCTTTGGAACAAAATCGAGGACGTTGACGCCGTCGTCGTTGCGATAAGGAGCATAGATCATGAAATATTTAGTAGAAGACATGTGTACGAGCGAGCAAGTTAGAAGGAGAGAGAGAGAGAGAGAGAGAGAGAGAGAAATCGTAAGAAAAAGAATGAAAGAGCAGTAGCGAGCTGTCGGTTGTGCTATCTTTACACACAGCACATACACTTTCTTTTTCCTTTTTTCACTACTTGAGCACACTTGCATTTCTACGAAAAGAGACGGATGTGTAGCGCACAGAAGAAATGGAAAGAGCAACAAGCTCGCAGCGTCACAGTCAAAATTAAACTCAAGAACGGCCCTCTCCCCCTTATTTTATAGGCTCAAGAGTGAGCATTGTTAGCTATTTTTTGGATGGCATCAAAAGAATCGCACTGCAGTTTTTGTTGGTTGGAAAAGAAAGGAACATACCCGACCATTGTGATAGAAAGAATAATAAGCTTTTTTCCCTTTTTTTTTTCTCTGTCTTTCTTGACTCCCAAAAATATAAGCTAAGAAAAGAAATAGTAAGCAAAGAGGCACTCCTGCTGCCACTGAAATGTACTCGTCAAAGACACTTGTTTTCACCGAAAAAGCCCACTCCTCATCACTGTGCACAGTGGTGGCTAACCCACCTTTTTTTCCTTTCGAACACTCCTCAAAACGTCGTCTTTTTAAGACTGAAGAAAAAGGACATTTAGGTTTTGTAGGAAAACATACGACAGAGAGTATTGGTAATGATGATCGCTTCCGTTTAGGGAAACGGTTCTTGATGGGTTATTGTGCTATTAGGAAGAAGGAGTACTCTACGTTGGATAGGTGTTTTTTTTTTTTTCAAAAGAAAAAAAGGAGCACCTTCTGCTCTACTCCAGAGAGTCCTGGAAAGACTAGTAGCTAGACCAAAGGAAGAGAAAACCCTTATTTCCACACACGATCCTCTTCTTCCCATAGCCCACCTGATTCAACTCACAATGGATTACTTTATAAACTCATAGTCCACGTTTTTTTCCCTTTTATTCTTATTGCCTTCCTCTCTCTCTTTCTCTCTCTCTAATCCACGAGCAAACTGATGAGCAACAAACTATTGAACAAAAAAGAGCATCAGCAACGACAGAAACACTTTCCCCGCGTTTCATCATGGCTTCATCACTTTCTTCTTTCGCTCAGCATCGACCCCAGATCACCAACAGCACCACTACCACCCTGAGCGCACATCATCATCATCATTATCATTATCAATCAATAGCTTCTTTTCTGGCTTCGGATCAACAGCAACACCGCACGCGCCAATTTATTCAGGGTCCTTGGTGGAGCTCACTTTATCGTCGAATCACAGTAGCCCCCGAGAAACAAGCATCCACTAAAGAGAAGAAGCTTGACTCTGGAAGAAATACCATGGTTGACAGCACTCATAATCACCATCGTCAGCAGTCGTCTAATGATCATCCATTAGCCGTCATACCTTGTCAACGTCAATTCAATGCGACTGCAGTCGTGCATGGTAGCCCACTTATCAAGAGCTGGTTACGCCATCCCTTCGATTGGGTGAATGATGCACGTACCCATGCGATCGTCCAGCAGGAGGAGCAAGACCAGAAGCAACTCCAGCATGTCCAAAACGACACCCAGTCTCCAGAGAATACGATGGCTGGGCAAAGCCCAGACCAGTGCTCATCCATATCATCGTCTAGCCGATTCTCGATCACATCGACGATTTCATCTGCATCAACCACGACAAGTACGTGTGTAACCTTTAACAACGACCCTTGTTGTATAACCACAGCATCGGATGTGGATACCGCAACAACAGTAGTGTCAGCAACGGAAGAAGGCAAGCACCTGCAAAAAGCGGATGTCGTTCTTCATCGGCACCATACGGGAAATAGCTTGCGACTTTTAAGTGTCTGGCTCGTTACACATTTGTTACTACAAACAGCCTATGTATTGCATTGACATCAGCATGGCAGCAAGAAACGCATGTGACGAAGCAACGACGGTGCACGAACCACAACAGCGGCTACATTATGCAAAACAAAGCAAACCAAAACACCACCGCCAACAACAACAACAACAAAAGAGCAGGCGATTGGCTGCTATAACCGACAACCGTGGTAGCACTGCATTAGCTTCTTTGCCGCATCATCCGGCCTCACTGTCGCCATTTCCAAAGTGCTGGCCCCTCTGACCGGAAGCAAAATTATTAGCGATACCGTTCAAGCCATGGGCCCCCCTATGGCGACTTTGTGGGTGAGCACGAACGGTCCATGGCTTTGTATAAGGAACGATTTTCCGTACGACTACTGAACGGCGAGACCATATGCGAAACAACGCCGATACCATTACCATCGACACCGTGACAACGACAATGATTCATCTTCATCATGTCCGGCGAGCTTGAGTATACCAGACCTGAAAGCCAAGCAGTCATGGATCTCGCACGCGAAACACTGGAGTATTTTGAACAGTGGTATGGCGATCATAGCGAGCAACAACGGGCTGTTGATGATTCTGCAGAAATGAAAACAATCCATTGGTTGCGCCAAGTGACCGTGACCTAACTTGTTTTTGCTCGATACAACAGTAATAATAATAGTATAATAACAGCTAGTAGTGTAAGCGATAATACTTTCTCATGTAATCATTGTACAGTTCTCATCTCTTACCTTTCTCCCCCACACCCCACCCCCCCCTGTTTGCATCATTTTTCTCATCATCAAAAGTAGCGCTTTTTCTTGTCACCACATCTTCATGTATACATAGTTTCTAGCTATTTGTTTTAATCATTAAAGTAGTACAATTGACCTTTCATTAATAACAATACATTTTTCTTCGAAAACAACAAAACAATCCCCTCGAGCCCGCTTAGCAAAATTAACTTGACTGACAACTGTGTTAATCTACATCATCATTTCTTTTTTGTTTAGACGTTTTCTTTATGTGATGATGACTGGAACAATTTCTATTTGCTGGGTCTTCTCTCGTCGTTATTAGGGGTGCTACCATCGTCGACGGCGGTGTCTTTTCTATAAGTTGACCAGCAGGTTTTACGTTGCTTTCACATTTTAACAGAAAGCAATGCTTTCTTTTTTGACTTGCTCGTCCTTATCTTATCTGTTCTTATTGCCTCTTCTGAATCTGTTTTTCCGGGTCGTTGTCGTGCCTATTGTCGTTCTTTGCCATGGATGGTAATCTAAGTTGGTTCAATTACCGTGATAATTGCGGTCAATCAAATACACAATGTTTTCGCTACTGTTTGAATTAAATGCAGTGCGTGCCTTCTGCTCACTTTTGTAGAAGCTTTTGGTTTCGTACGATGGGTAACTTTCAATCAAGCAAGCAGCAACTACCTACATGCAAGGAATTCAGTAGACAAGATTGTTAAAACCTTGCTATATACATGTAGTAGTATTATCAATCAGATCTGCAACAAGAGGAGCAAAACATAATTGATACAATTCGTCATCGCATATCTTCTAAGACATGTATATGCAGTATCACATGTACGTAGCTCAATCGTAGCATGCTATTATGCACTGCTAATAATCAGCTGCTCTTATTGAAGCGACATCCGAATATGTACATATTCTTAATGATGCGTTTGTAGGTTAGATTGATGATCAAGTATGATAAAGGCAACACTTACCTGCTTTTTGAGTCACTGTATTATCAAATAAACCTAAAGGACAGAATAAGTCAACGAGACCCGGAAGGAGTTACAAACTGGTTCATTATGATAACATTAGATCTCACTACTGTATAAATAAATGATATATTCTACGAAATGGTTATATGCAACAATCCCTATCTTGAGCAATTTCTCCTAGCAAAAGTAAGTGTATTCTGAGCTGATAAGAAAGATATGTTTATTCTACCAAATGTTAGTAAGTTTACGTCCGTGGTAATGATAGCCCCTTATTCTTTTGCTTCTAGTCTAAGTTTCTGCAATGCCAAGGCTGTGCTGCAGTTGCTGTTGCACTGGTCGTTGTACTTTATGATTATCCTTGATCGTTTTCTTGGTTTTGTATAACGGTATTGTTGTTGTATCACTCATCAGCTACATCCGTTGTATGATGATCGCGTCATCTCTTCTTGTGGATCACGGACGTTATTTATGATTAGAGGTATGGACAAGTTGTTTGCGATTACAAACTCGAGAATCTTGATTTTGTTACTGTTGTTTGAAATATTGAAAACATAACGTGGATTTTGTGACGTTAGCTATCGATGAAATTGATGGCAACATATCACCATGTGTTTTGTACTTACAGTTAAAACTACTTTTCCATAATTGGTCCACTTGTATAGGTTATGCCTATCGTTGTTTTGATGTTTGTCTTGAATGCAATTGTTTGTCTTCAGCCCGGAATTGATACAAGTGCATTCGTATCTTAAAAAACGTATTGACCTTGTATCATAATTTTCCATAAGCTTGCTCTAGGTGTTGCTTTTTGTCGTTCTTTTTTTTTTGTCTCGAGTTGCATTTTTTTGCAGCATTTGCCTTGTAACTCGTGTCTTGTATATAATTTTTTTTCTTTTTGTTTTTTTCTGGTCTGTTTCTTTTCTGTTTTTTTTTTTTGTGTTTCTTTTTCTTTTCTTTTTTCTTTTCTTTTTTCTTTTCCTTATTTACGGGGTCTATCATTACCTGGACATTAACTTACCAAACATCTGTAGTGGGAATATATTCGTGAGAGATCTCGTTGACTGGTATATAGGAACATGCAGGGCTCTACGACAAAGCAATGTGAGCACAATTGCGTAACATTACAAGGTGGATCAATTGCTTTTTGCCACTAATTCTTACCGTGATGCTTTTCTAAATGCCTATTGCCCCTGGTATATCTTGCTGTCTGTAGCTGATTTTTTTGAAGCATGTGTCTGCATCTCTTGAGGATGTATTAAATAGCAATATCGTTCGGCCGCCACTTTTGCTAATGGATGGTTTGAAGTTTTGATGAATATATGTGGTATGTCCCAATGACGTTTGTTGTAATCCTTTTAGAGCACTGCACAATTACCCTTTTTCGTTTTCTCCACAAATGATCTTATTGTCGTCGCATAATAATTGAGCGAGCAATATGGATGCTGGTCGACAATCACGTGCGTTTCATTGATGTGCTTGGAGTGTGTATGTGCATATGTATCTTCCATCTTGACTTTGAAAGATGTATTGACTGCTTCCGCTTGCCACTGATCAGGTTTGTAGGATCGTCTCTCTCACCAATGTATCGTAGACTGGATACTGGTGGTAGGCTCTTCTTGTTTTCCGCTTTGTTGATATACGGTGCCGTCGTGTGGATCTGATTATGATGGGCCACTTGATGATGACGCCCTCAAAGCCAATGTCGTGTTTGATGCGCCTTATGAGCGAGGTCTTGTACTGTTTGAATAGCTGTGTCCTGTGTTTGATTTGCGTCCGCTTCAGCTGCGTTTCCATTCACCACCCGCTAAGTGAATGAAACTATCACGTATGATGTGATGCCACTTTGTTGAGTTAATTGTTCGCATTGGTTTCCTTACTGTTCCATTTCGTCCAAACCCGCGATGCTTTGTTGTCTGGAGGTCATCGCCAAGTTTTAGGATCGCCTTTACGATTTCTAAGAAGAGATAATAGATATGAGCATACCATTGTTTTTGACTTGAATTTCAGTGTCATCAGAAAACCATACGCACTTACTTTCGCTTCATAAAGTAGCAAGTAAAATGACTCATTGTGCTGCCTACATTATTTTTTGCCGCTCTTGTTGTCTCTGATGTGTGGTCGTCATTACGCTTCATACTATACTATCGCCAGATTATGCAGGTTTGACAGAAAAGCGTTCCCATGGCTTCTTGTTTCTCTTCAACGATAAACGATCAGAAGCGGACGAGAATTGTCATGTAATTGAAAAGCTGTTGACCGCTTGATTGTTTGATAAGTGTGCTGTCGCCAGATTCCAGGGTTTAGCTGCCACCTTCCTGCCTTGGTTGATGTTGTCGTCCGAAGCTCTTGATATCTTGTTGTGCCATGATGAAGATCCGCTCGAAAGCTTGTTCTGTTCCCGCTGTTGTCAATTGTTACCGCAAATGCTGTTTGCCTGAGTTGTTGCCACCAAGTTGGATGTCATCAATGCCGATGCCGACTATTTTGTTGCGTCGATGTTGTCGCATGAATAAATCTTGCTGTTTGTTGTCATAAGCAGAGGTGACTCATCATCTCGATCCGACCTTTAGCAGTTGTCATTTGCAATGTTGTCAATTCTTTCCGCTCTTGTGCTTTTCGGTTTTATGTCTACAACGTGCTGATACCGCTCTCTTTTATGTGTTGCTCCTTACATGTCCTTGCCGCCTTAACGTAACTTGTTGAGATACTCGAGTTGAACCGTCAGCCATGCTGATGCCTCTTCGTTGCTACAACTTCTTGCTTGTTATCCGTATCACTGAGTTGCGCTACTTCTTGATGTGATGATAAAATTGCTGCGCTGAAACATGTGATTCACCGTTGCACGCTTTTTCGTGATGGGCATGCATTTTGACAAGAGAAAATCAAGCCAAAGACGGGATTCTCCGAATCCTCGATTCGACACAAGGGTGCTTTTGTACTCGGCTAGCCTGAAATTTGGCGCCACCTCACCATGACGGCATGTCAGGCACAACCACACGCAGCGACGACGTAATCAAGCCAAAGACGGGATTCTGCTAATCCACGATCAGCGCCAAGTTTTTTTTTTTTACTCGGCTAGCCTGGAAAGCTGGCGCTCTCCCAACATGGCAGCGTACTACCACCGCACCGCTCTCGCCAGGACTACCCCAGCCCGGACACCCCAGCTTCAGGCACCCGAAGCAGAGGGTAAGGGTTATGAGACAGAAGGATACTCACTTCCATAGCAGAGGGACAGCTAACTGCTACCCAGGCCCCCCGAGGGATCAGACGCGGTTTAGGCGTAAACACATTCCAGAGGACGACTGAGGACCGTGCTGTGGGGTCGGTGAGGTGGTAATGCTTGTGGAACAATGCTCTGTGGTATTGTCGACGCAGGAGTACCACGGGGTGTCTTTTGAGCCAGTGTGAACCAATGGAGCAACCACGACTAAATGAATGCCACAATGCAAAGACGGCTTTAGGTCCTACATAGAGCTGCTCCCCTCCCTTGTATTAGCAATCGTCAAAACGATTGACTGCTACAAGAAAGGGGGTTGGAGGACTAGCAAAAATACTTTAAATTAGTTAGTAAATCATGCTCACTTTATTACTACGTGAAAGTAAAGATGATTAATACGTGCCTGCAAACAGAGCCATGGTCTACCGGGCCGCTCCATTGTACATTCCTGCTATGCAAGGTGTCACCCACGTCCTCCAAAACCGACAAACAACAGTGCAATGTTCCTAGCACCACCATACAGCACACCGGTGGTGCCACAGCCATCTAGTCCAAAGTCATCGTGAAACATGCGCAGAGGCCCCCTATATCTCCCTATACAGGCGATAGCACAGTGCCTTGCCACAGCCTTCCATCTCAGCCCTTACCTTACTCCGGGTACCCTCCACTGCATCCCATCGCCTGACGAAGGCGGAAGCCGCCAGACAAAACACTAGAAGCATCGCAGCCGAACCGACCACGCAAAGACCTAAAGAACATGGATCCAATCAGTAAATATATTCCTTGAATTTGAGACAGCCTTCTTTAAACTACATACCAAAACAGCCCACGTAAATAAGCCGACCAAAGAGGGCCCAAACGAACCACCCCAAGAAGCTATGCCGAGAAGGCATCACCGAGGAACCGACACATCACCACGACGCCGACGCGCCAACAAGCGGGAAGAAGAGGATAAGGCAGGAGCCGGTAAAAAAGAACGGAAGCAAGAAAAGGAGGGCCTATTAAATCGACCAGCCAGTAATGTTAGTTTTCATCTTTATCAGGCAGCAATGTGTTTGAAGCAGGCTTAGTAAAACGAGAGTTGACTTTGTTACCAATAGCTATACGGAATACTGAATACTGAATACTGAATGTTTTTTGAGGGTTTTGACTTTTGAATTGTTTTTTGGGTGCTATTAGAATTTGTACGAAAAAGAAGAAGCCGGTATCAATGAGCGCGTTTATTATAGGAAAGAAGCAGAAGCACAAGACAGCAGAAACATTATACTTACCTTTTGTGGTGTTTTTTGCTTTTTTTTGGGATCTATCATAACAGAAAGAATAGACGTGTCCAAGTCAGTGAACGTGCTCAATAAAAAGGTCAATGTAGAGTAGCTTACTTTATGGATGTTTTTAGTACCACCACGGGTACGAAGGAGGAACCCAGTCTACGTGCATCAGATTGCTCTGATCGTCGTCAATATCCATGTCGTCGCTGTCAATGTCCATCATATCACCAGCATATGGGATCTCTTCATCCTCTTCTGGCACTGGCGCCTCTTCAGCCTCTTCGTCATCGGCAACCTCAACCATCGGAGGAGCGAGAGCGGGGAAGAGGACAGGGGAAGCGGGAGCAGAATGGTGAGGAAGAGGGGACGGCGGCAAGACGGGAGAATGCAAAGGACTGAACTGCGGTGATGGCGGTGGGGACGAACCCGCACGCGACAGAGCACTGGACGCATCATCATTGTTGCCGAGGTCAATGATGAGGGAGGAGTCGGAAGAGAAGACGGTGACGAAGGAGTGGTGTGAGGCCGTGCTGGCGTTGTCGAAGCTGAAGGTGGGTGTAAGGACGGGCGAGAATTGGGGTGGCGCGGAGGAGATGGTGGAACGGGAATGGTATGAAAGCTGTGATGCCGCGTCAGGGTCGTAGGGGATGGTGGACGCATCGTCGTGGTCGTAGGGGATGGTGGATGCATCGTCGTGGTCGAAGTTGTAGTAGCCTGTGGCTCGGTCGTAGGTGTTTTCAGCGTGAGTGCTCATCGTAAAAGTACGGAAGAATAGAAAAACTGGTAAAGAAGAAAAAAAAAGGAAAACGCGTTTTTTTGTATCCTGCTTCCTTATCTATACTTGCTCTAATATGATTTGATTTGATATGCACAAAGAATTTCCTTTTTTGGTTTGCCTTGCCCCATGATCTCTTACCACTCACATTAAAGATCCTTCTTTATGACTTATGAGACCTTTGAAGCAGACAACTGGAAGCTTGTTTTCGATGAGCTATACTGCAGGAAAAGACCTTTTTGTTGCCATGGCATTCAGGGGTTGTGACATTTCTTGTTCCTGAAAGCTGCTTGTTGCCATGTCAAGCATGGCAACCATGTCAAAAATTAATTTTATTGTATTCGTCGCGTCACGCATTTTGGCCAATTCCGAGCGGAATGGCGGCTGTTCTCGCGAAGAGATTCGCAAAGCTTTTTCCACACAATTGCAACCAGCACAATGTACAGGCTCCTGGCAACACGTACATACCAGGACCTTGTCTTTCTGCGGCTCTGTGGCCAAGTTACGATGCTTTTCGTGCAGGGTCTCCATTGTACTTTGCTATCATACTCGGCCTCTATATGCACAGACCGTTCGTGCTGGCCGTGAAAATAAAATTGGGGGTGTAGGGAGTGTGTGGGGGGAGGACATCGGAGGGGATCCCGAGCTTGGAGACATCACTGGTACACGACGCTGCTGAATACGCTTGATAGAGTTTTCCACATCCTGGGAGGTAGACTACTTGTCCATTTTAGCCTCGCATCGAACTCAGTGGTCAGCGTGATTGACGATGATCGTAACCTGGCGAGCTTGGTCGATGCAGTGAAATGGGATCCTTTTTAAGAAAACAAAAACCTCTCCCAATCCTTGCGGTGGATCCGCTTTTATGATGACGCTGCTCACATAAACAGTCATTATCTCTGTAATTGTAACATATAATATAATATGTTCTACTCCTCCTACTTAATAATATGTATTACGATCCCTGGGTACGTGCGTACAGTTTTTTTTCGAGAAGTGCAGCTGAGAAGCTCAGCGCAAAGACAAAATCAACGGAGGAAACCAGTTTGAAAACACTGGCGTGGCCATGTACGTTACCTACTAGAAGTGGATGCGAAACTAGTATTCAGTCACTGAGGTGTTATGTCGCCATTTTAGCGAGTAATTGGATCTGTGAACCCAAACATTCCATACCAACAGCGCTCTCTGCCAGGATATCCACACACACACAAACAGAGAAAGGAAGAGGTTTACTAACAGTGACCGAAATTCTATGCCATTTTTGCGTATGTATGCAGTCGCCGTTGTAGATGGGCATTCGCCTAAGGGTCTGCTATTAGTGCTTTTGTGCTATAAGGAAATAGTATTTACATATACCAGGCAAAAACTGACGCAAAGGTAATCCCCACACGAAAGGGCCACTTCGTCACAAATGCCTCTCATACCATCACCTTTGACAGACCAGGCGGGATCCACAGGTGGATGCAACATAACGCTCAGCAATGATTCGAGATTGCATGCGGCCAAGTAAACGTATAAGAAACCAAGCAAAAGATGTATCAAGACCATAGAGATAATATGCTTTTTATACGAAAAGTCATTTATTAGATTTATTATGTTTACTATGATATTTGTAGTGCTCTTGGTCACTGCTTGATAGCAATGTTTCCAGAAGCTACCACGAGGAGGTGGCACTACTTTAGCTTCCAAATATATTGTTCATTCAAAGCATGAATCCAAATCCAAAGCCAAAGCCAGAGCTTAAGCAGAACGATACAGAGTTTATAAAAATCCATAGCCAACAGTCAACCTGCACCTCACTTGCAAGTTTTGCTTCTCTTCATCTCCTATTTTTGTTCTTTTTTTTGTTTGAGTCGTATTCGTTGTATCGTTCGTAATCGTAGCCGTAGCTGTAGTTGTAGTCGTCGTTGTACTCGTATTCGTATTCGTAGCCGTATTCGTATTCGTACTCGTAGTTGTATTCGTAGTCGTTGATCAAAGGGCGTGCATTCACAGGTCCTTGACTGAGAACTTCAACTTCGCTGACGCGTCGGCTCCAGGTTGAAAAGGTGCCGGTAGAAGCTAAACTCCATTCTTAATGCAAGTAAGTAGGACGGTTTCACTCGGTTTTTTGTTGGTGGTAGACCTCACAAGCCTCTTGCACACACCTAGTTGAATAGGCCCTGTGCAGCGCTAATTCCAGGTTCAACCTCCTCATGAATGCACGCATTTGAAAAATATGGGCGACAGGTCGCCATCGATAGCGTGCTGTCGTTGATCGATTCCTACAGTTGTGCTAAAAATATAAAAAGAGAAAATAGTAATCAGTCAGTAACCAATGAACGAGACAACAATAAGAAATTGGTTGATGAGGTGGGAAAGAGACGCGAAAACTGAAATGGTCCAAAAAGTACAATTTCAAGGCCTGTGATTGGCTGAAATGCTATGGCAGAATGTTGCGCCGACGCTGACTGCCATGCATAAGGATTTCAGTATGGCATTGAAAAGCTTAAATAACACCACGTAACTGGATCTACAAATGTTACCACGGTAAGGTGCACCTATTCCCATGTGTGATTATTTGATTTAACGATGGCACTATCTGCTACGCTCCTCTGTCTGAAACCTTCTACTTTCATTTATAAATACAACTACAGATGGACGATCTTTGAGTTTCTAACAGAGTAGAGAGTACGTTGAATAACTGGAGAAAGGAGAGAGACTCTGTGTATGTGTGTATTTGTGTGCTGTGCATACAGCCACAAATGATTTACTACTGTAGCTACCGCCGTTGTAGCCGTGAGACGCAGAACGAGCAGGAAAGCATCACCACCATCCACAGCTCCGTGGTGAATCTTCGTTTGGTTTATTACTCGCTATAGCTTTTAAATCTTCTAATCACTATTTATATGGTATGTCTAATCCTCTATCAATATCAAGTATGCCTATAGAAAACTATAGTCTGTCAAGTCGTATTCTTTCTTTATGTACTTGATAAGAGCCAGCGGGAGGATTAGACTAAATATATAATAACCCGCATCCGTATTCCTTCCCTCTAAAATTCTTTCGAGCACGATCACCACTTGATCAAGTTCTATTGTTAAATTTACAGCTGTATTATTTCTCTTGTGCAGCGATCCATAAACGATAAAGTGATCTGGGGATTTTAACCAATATCGATAGTGGCGTTATCTTCTTCGTATTGAGAGGGCTGATTGATAAAGGTTTGGATGATATACGAAGTGGGATAGCTATGTGTTGACATGATGATAAAAATCAGGAACGCGAATAAAGGTTTTAGACAGTCATAATCATGAATTTATACTTTTTATTGTATGAAAAAAAGAAAGGAGTACAATTATTGTTATACGTATATGTCCAGCGACAGCTGATAAAATGTGGTGCTACATACATTAGTAAACTGCCTTGTTTTTGGAGAAGCAATAAATAACTACAGCTATTTCTCCTACCCGAATCAAGAAATATTCTGTAACAACATTACATGCGGCTCCCTCACGGGAGGTATTTTCTGCAACATCTACTTGAAGCATTGTAATTCCGTCCAACAACAAAAGAGGCGCATGTGCATGGTAGGCTTGGATGTATCTTCATCTTATTTGCTGTTTTGCTATCTATCGTCTTTCGCCTTTTATCCTTTTGCACCCTTCGCGTCGCAGCTAGATCTAAATCTTTTAGCTGGAACATTCTATTTCGAATGGACGCTGAGCCTGTACATTGCTACATGTGGACAATGTCTTAAAAATCTATTGGCCAGATCATAGTTTACTTTTTATTACCATCACAAAGAAGCTGTTTGGCGCATTGATAACGTTAGAGATATTGTCCATGCAAAACGTGGACGGGTTAACAATTACTATGAGGATATAGATTAACCGCGGAATAAGATAGAGTAGAGAGTTTAATATTATCGAATGACAAGGTATGCAATAGTACGTGTCATATGAATCAAATATAAGGCAACAACATATTTAAAGAAGAAGGGAAAGGGCATGTACACTTTGTTTGTAGAATAGGAATGTGGGGGGTATAGAGAAAGACACATATGAGCATTAGCAAAAAAAAATTCAACTGTATATATATAGGGAAGGGCTGCTTTTACGCGTACTAATAGGAAGCTTATAAAAGAAACTTGCAAAGAACAGAAACGAGAGGTATTATTAACAAAGAATATTATTAAGGCTCATATGCTTGGTTTGATGTGGTTCTGTCGTTTGCCTAGGTGTTAGAGTAGGTGTCGGTAATGATGAGGATGATGGCTGTTGCTCATCTTCGTTGTTCCAAGAGTGTGGCGGAGAGTCTACGGGCGATGTAGTTGGACTACTGGTGATGCTGCTGTTACTACCTCGCTCTGGAGGTCGGTACATAGGTGATGGAAGTGTCGAGGAAGTCCACTCATGAGGCTGTACTGATAAGGGTGACGGTACAGGGGTAGCAACCATATTGTTGCCTGTGAACGTTGTGCCTGCCTTGATAACGTCGATCGGCTTGATGCCCCTTTGATCGTCAAAAGCAGAATGCGTTTTTTGTGATAGGGAAGAGTCTTCTTCTTCTTGCTGTTGATGCTGCTGGCGTAGTTGCTGGTCCAACTGCAAGGCTAACAAAGGATGGCCGAGCGGGGCGAGCAAGCGAGAAGAATATAAAATGAAAGTAAAAGAGCGTACAGCAATAATAAGCGTCTTGTTGCATCGTACGTGGGATGAAGGGAGAACGGTACTGATATTCTTCTCACTTACCCTCTCCTTCTGGGCTTGCTCGGCCATCACTATGATGCTGTGGCTGTTTATGCTTTTGCTGTTCAGATAATGTACTACCGACGCTGCTACCAGCATTACTTTCGTCGTCGCTACTATTTCGTCGCCTCGATCGTTGATCAGCAGCAGTACTGTTGCTAATGTCTTGTGGTTTGCCGCTGCTACTATTGCTGTTGCAGCCATTGTTGTTATGATTGACCGAGAACTGCGTGGTGAACGCTTCAACTTCTTTGGGAACCATAGATCTAGGCACTTTGGCCATCTTTAGATCTACATGGACACGATCTTCGCCGTCCAAGCGTGCAACGACATCTTTGAGATAGGTGATATAATCAATCGCGCTCTGTAAGACGGTCATTTTGTGTAGATGGTCCTGGTTTGCGCACGACGGTATAAGCTGTCGTAACTGTAAGATTTTATCATTAATTCGTTCTCGCCGACGACGCTCGATTGCACTGTGTGACAGTTTACGTGCTTGTTCTCGTTGGTCGGCGGTGCTAGCGCCGCCACCTTCGCGTGCAACGACGTTAGCTGGCGACGACGGAGATGCGGCTGGAGCTGCGGCGATCGGGAGTGCAAAGGGGTGATAAACGTGATGATGGTAGTCAGCTGGACTGCCACCATTATTGTTAGGGTTGAGCGTCGGTGATGTATAAGTAAAAGCCTGTGTCGCTGCCGTTGCTTCATTTGTTGCTGATGAAGAAGGCAATGATGTTGAAGCACAACTTTCTGTAGCTGTTGTTGTCAATTTTGGTAAAATACGTGTTGTATTACTTCCGCTACGTGGTCTTATGGAAGCCGGAGAAGCAGAAGAAGGTAGCGGAGACTGAGGTGCGATCGGCGGCTGGGGTGGTGAGCCGACTGGCAAATAGAATGGACCGGCGTGATACAAGGGATGATAGTACGGTGACTGAACCACCGCTAGATGATGAGGATGATGCGGAGGATAGGACAATAATGGTGGAGGTAAGGCCATCATTGTTGGCGGCGGATGAGGCGTCGGTGCGATGCTACTGCTGTTTGTACTCGAGGGGGTAGCAGGAGCGACAGATTCGTCGTGTCGTTTCCCTCGTTTGTTTGCTGGCTCATCATCATCGTGGTTAGGTTGTTGCTGCAGCGGAGATGACGTGTTGCTAGTAGTAGGAGAATCCCCTATTTCTGCTATGGATGGATTTCGTCGTTTTTTTGGAGGAACAGTAGAAGTGGATGGGTTGCTGTTGGCAGCCTTGTTGGGAGACATGGCTGTTTTCAGGACAGACGAGAAAAATAAAGAGAAAAAGAGTGAAGAGAGAAGGCCCGAGGGGAGACTGGAAGCAAGAGTAAGAGAGAGAGAATGAGGAAGGGAAGGTGAGAATATAAAATAGCTTGCCTCAGGAACAGTCAGTGCTTAAGTTACCAATCGTGAGCAGCGTGGTCCGACACGTGTGGCTCTGATTGGACCCATTCCGAAAGAAAAACAACACTCCCCCACTTTGCACCTAAATTTTAGACACACACACACACACACACTCTCTCTCTCTCTCTCTCTCTCTCTTCACCGCTCCCCTCACTTCTTCAAAGCGCATACGCACACATATAACACTGCTAGAATCTATCTTTACGAAGCTGTGTTCCTATTTGAGCAAATCATAATGCGCCCATGACCCCACTCGCCCTCATCGGACAGGGTCCGAAAAGGGAGATCATGCTTATTCTAATCCAGCCAATGCTCATTTAATATGCTGCCCACGCCCTCTCACGCTGCCTGTTATTTCAAGATACCATTTGCTTTGTGTCATCACGTGTCCTAAAAATGGGCGATCTACCGTGCATTCAAGCAGCTTTGCCTAACCAGCAAACCCTTTCTGCTTAATGCCATTGGTGGTCAACTTTTATTGTCTTTTTACTTCCCCATCATCCGCATTGGGCGCAATCTCGTGAGTGTTACACAGCAACAGCGGCTGGTGAGGAGATCCACAATAATGATTCGACAAAAAGAACCATCATGTGTGCGCACTAGAAATATGCAAGTGGGCCATCTGTTATAGCACTTAACAATGTCAAAAGTACAGAATGATGTATCCCATTGGCCAATTCGTCCATGCATACTTTTTCTTGTGCGACCTTAGTACATGGTCTGTTCCCATAGGAATCTTTTAACATTCTCACTCACTCATTTTTACAAACATTATGAAAAAGATGAACATTGCCTTGAAACAAAGCTAGACATTGCTAACGTGGGAAGGCAAGCAATCAACGAACGCTTTCTTCAGAACTGGGCCTTGAGTAATCCCTCGAGATTCTTGTCATTCCGTAATTGCATCTTTTTGTCAGTCTCCCCAGGGAATTCCCTTTTCCCAAAAACCAGACGCTGCTTTAACGATAGGATGCACCAAAAGAAGACGTCGTTTACGGATGATTACTCCGGGTTCCAACGCCAGGGGTCGGCTGGCATGGTAAGCAGATGGTGGGTGTTCCACTGCGAAATAAGCAACAATCATTAATACTTCCTCTCGTTAAATCGCTCTCAGCTAACCACGACAATAACAGAAATAGCGTTTGATCTTTTTCATCGACTTTTATTTTTAGTGTTCTAACTATTGGACTTTAAACATCTAACAGTGGCAGGAGGACGATTACTGCTTCTACAACTGTACATCCTATTTTTGAAAGTAATGTACTCCCTGAGTACCGTGACTACATTTAAATTCATGATCCAGTCCTCACCCGATCACATTTTGACAGCGATCAAGAGCCTTCGGAAAACAGCAAAAAAAGGTAACCACCTTGAATAAGTCGTTCGGATACACTTCCACAACGGGATGCTTACCGCTTAATTTCTAGATAGAAGATTGTCTAGAAGCATACCCAAACATGATCAAGTCGTTTTGATCGTCCATCGATTCATTTTGCACAGTCAATGTTTTGATCATGAGATTCATCTGATCGTTGTTATTTCACCACGAATATGCCTCAAATTTGGTGATGCCCGCTGTTAATTGAAAGACAATGGTGCTAGTGTAGACGGTTCTATACGTGCATAGTTTCAGAAGCCTGAATAATTACTGATGTCTAATACAAATATGATGCCATTGAGGTTATCACATTCGATATTGCACGGGGAGCGTATTACGTTGGACCACATATTCACAGTGTATTTATAACATTTAAACGTTATTGTGTTATAACGCAGATATATTGGATGTTTGGACTTCTTTTTCTGTACATGAATAACGCTTTGGAACATAAGCGAACCACTTGGTTCCTTTAATCGATGTAAATTAAAATTCGAGCTACGTTACTATATTATTTCGTCTCTCTTCGTCTATAACACAGCCTAGTCAAAAGATACTGCACTAACCAAAGTTCGTCACGTCAGCAATAACGTTGTAAACTTTAGGTCTTTTTGAATAGCATGAATATCACAACCGTAGCAAGCAATGACGACGTAATAGGAACAGTTCATGGTTACCTGATATCCTTATCCGAGCAATTCCAATAAAATTTTTACTTTGCCGTAAAAGCATGCTATGCCTGTTCGAAGCTTTATTGAAATTAACAGTGCAATGCATAATTTCCACGCTTTCTACTAGCAGTGAACGAGTGTGACTTTTTGCCCTAGCAGCCCACATTTAAAATTTTCGAAGCAGTTACGTTTCTATCCATTAGTCATTTATTATATGAATGTAGAATAGCTGTTCAGCTCTGTAATTAATATTGAATTACATTATTTTGAAATACTTTTCTATTTTTCTTTGCTGTGGTCATTACATTTTCTCTAAAACATGGTAGCGTAATTTTTATATACTGTACCGTACTGCAATTTTAAAAGTTGAGCCACTGGGAGATAAGAAAGCGAGAAATTCTATCTCCATGATAAAACACACCATTACAACAACTAAAACTGGTTTATAATGATAACAGAAGCTCTCAATATTTAAAAGAGATGACATATCCTTGGCAACTACCACAGCATATATGGATTGAGAATTAATATTATTGAATTACTTATACAAGATTAAGTAGTATAGGTGTGATAAACGTGGATTATTGATAGGTGAAAAGAGAAGAGATCAAATCAAATAGAAAATGAAAGACAATATGAGATACAGTGAGAGTCATTTATGAAATGATTCTTATTGAATGAGCTCACAGCCCTTAATATACTGTTTGACATGCTGGCTAGACTTCAGTATGGATAAACTGACGAACGAATCGCAAACATGCGAATAACCATCCAGCTGATGGAGAAACCATGTATTATGATGACTGGTCGAGGACGTATCAGAACTTGTGCATAAGTCGCTATATTAATCGGGTCATTTATTGAAACCAGCGATAGCTGGTAAGTGGCCGCGCTACCTGTTGACAAGCTCATTGTCTTGTTTACATAAGCTGGATCATCTAAGTTGTAGAATGTTTCCGTGCTTTACATTATCCAGATGGATTTTTTTTATGTAATAGTGCTTACTTGGTTGCCGTATGCTACTGATGTTTAACCGAATATCTTATAATGATGTTTTAGGTAGTATAATAATGTGGCTCACCGCACCACTTTCTTCCAGGTTAATTACTCTGTGTAGAATGTGCTTAGCGTCAAGTGCGCAAACCACTTGCTCCGTTTGGTGCATGGTGTAAGTGTGACGTTTTGCAGTTATTTTTGTGACTTAAGTTGTGATTGCTATAGTATATGTGTCAGCAAGTACGCCACCCACATTGAACGTACAGACAAAACAGCAGCAGCGCAACATCGTCATAAGAAGAATATATTACTGTTGTATCTAAAATAATAATAACACATTATCTTTAATCCGTCATTAACAATTGCTGTTAGAAGAAGTTATCATTATATGGATCACGTAGTTCACATTAGCTACAATCTGAGGCGTTTACCAGTATGTACCTTTTACTCACGCATCGTATATTACTTAATCCTTTAAGGTTGATTTATAATATCAATTCATCCGTTCAATGCACACGCTGTGGTAGTTGCCAAGGATAACCCAATTCTTATAATTAGTGAGAGCTTCTGTTATCATAGTAAACAAGTTTTAATTCCTTCCGGGTCTCGTTGACTTATTCTGTCACTTTTGGTTTTATTGGATATTACATTTATTTGTGTCATTTCCATCATATCCAAGACTCAAACAGATTAAGTCATTTACAATCATAGCATTAAGGAACGAATCATGCTGGAAATCTGTTCAATGTCAAGCAATGCTCCAACTTAGGAACACTAACGAGTCAAGCGGCAACAAAGAGATGCCTGAAGAGACGATTGAGACGCTACGATGGGATAGACTCCGTCTGTATGAAGCCCCACATTTTTATACTACATTATACCTTATGCATTTATCTAGGACCGACACAACCATTAAGACGTTTTTTGGTGTGAAGACTCTGGATCTCTGGAGGGTGCTAGACGAAGGAGTATTTCATGATGACTCAGAACTTGAAGAAGACTTGCGCTGCTACAAGTATGAATCTGTGTATGTGGCTTCGATATATTGTCTGTGCTAATTAGTCGTTTTTTTTATGGCGGCGTGAGCAAGAGCGGTAAATGAAGAAACCGCTATGTTTTAGACAGAAGCGACAGCCGTTGCATACGTTTAGAAACCAGAAAACAACTGAATATCATGAATCTATTTTACAATGTTTATTACTATGTAACAATACAAAGGAACTATGCAACTGACAATTAAAGCTTAATACACTCTGAGCTGAGATGACGCGACAGCATCTATATGGCTTTAAACGAACAATTTCACCTTTTGACATGCCTTTCTTACTTTTTTCTTTCAACAATCTCACAGTGACACCACCAAGGTCTTTCCCATTCGAAATCATTCAGCCTACACCTTTCTCAAGTAAGGGGTGGATCTACAAGTTCAGTAGTAGCAGTACTAGATTTTCCTGCTTCCTCAATCTTTACCAAGTCATTGTTGTTCCTGTTTTTCTAAAAGTAGGAGGAAGCTTAAACCAGTATTCAAGGTAACCAAAATAATCCGCCGATGTCTCATGTTTTAACACTTCCATACATTGTTTATCTTGTTTCGTTCTTATATCTTGGTCCTTGTTTCTTCCCTCATCACTCATCTGGTCTCCTACATAGTAGGTTTCCTTTTTGTCTTGTCCTGTTCTTGCTGAAAGCACCTAACACATTCTTGTCCAGTCTCTCTGCCCTTGTCTTGCCTTGTTCCTGTCCGCACCTTACAATTATGATGATAAGCTGTAGGTGATGTTGATGATTACTATATTGCACAACAATGGAGTATGTCATAGTACTATAATACCTGATTTTTTTTTAATAGCCATAGATACTTTATCTTTTACTGCTGTCGCTAAGTTGTCCCTGACGTAATGCACAGGTACTTCCTCTTGTACTCCCTTGCTACACAACAGCAATCATCAATATCATCCACAGCTTATCATTATAGATAATCATTATCATATATGCAGCACTACTTTGCATGCATTTAGTCTTAGACTACGTATAATATAAGTCATCTTTGAAAAAAAAACATCTATCTATTCGTCTATACCTGCGAGATTGTTCGTTTGTGGGTCGTCTCCACTCCTGTGTTTTCTATTTTTTGTAGAAAAAAACCACGACACTATGACAAAAAATGTCGTAGCCATAGTTTTCATGTAACACATACTTCTTTTTTAGATTCCATTCCCCTTCTTTGATATACTTCTTGCTTGCTGCGGTCCACAGCTACTATTCCTTTTGTCGCGCAGTCAACTATTACATCATTATTTGCTGCACAGTTATTCTTTGTCATCGTTATCTGTATACTTTTGTATCATATCATTACTGCAGTAGTTTAGACAAAACATATAAATATCCCCTCTCATCACATACAATAAACAGTATCTTTCAAGTTATCTTTTATTCTACTCTTACTCTTTTGTGATCTCTCTTTCTATTGGCTACGGTACTTATCCGCCAAAAGGACTCGACATGTCGTAGCCAGATTTGGCCGGTCTTTCCTTTTTCCTTTTGTGACACCTGTCCATCGTTTTAACACGTAGTCGCTCCTCGTTAACACACGATTGTCAAGACACGTAGTTGTCCATTGCTTGAACACGTATTGGTCTCTCATCACAACACATAGCCATCATAGCGTATCTAGTAACAATAGAAAACATATAAATATCCCTTATATCATCAAGCAATAAACATCATCTTTCAAGTTATCTTTTATTCTATTTTTACTCTTTTGTGATCTCTCTTTCTATTGGCTACGGTACTTATCCGCCAAAAGGACTCGACAGACAAAAAAAAAAGAAAAAAAAGAATTGTTAAAAAAAGATTCCTACAACACTGCGTTGAAGTAGTTCCGATCTACCTGATTCGAACAGGTGACCTAGAGATAACAGTACACTACAGTCTCCCGCTCTACCAACTGAGCTAAGATCGGATCGTTGTGTCCTCGCTATTGTATGCTAATTATGTTGCTATTATTGCCGCACCTGACGATATGTTTCGCTTTCTTCGAGTTGCTGAGCAACATTCACAAGATCTGGGGTATCGATGGCATCCTGCCAAATGCGCGGTAATCGGCCCACCACCACCACGAACAATATACGACGACATTACTGACGAGCTTGCTGTACTAGAACACTGAGAACTACCAGCCCTAGCATACAAGCTCTACAACACCCCCATTCCATTTGTCACCAACTTTAAATATCTAGGCGTACCTTTCAACCAGGAGGGCCTGGATAGAACATTCCTGGTGTCACAAAGGACGCAACTAGCCACAGGTGCTATAGCTACCCTGCAAAGTCTCGGTGTTCACCAATATGCACTTGGTATCTGGGCAGCTCTACGCTCGTACTGCACTTTTGCAAGACCAGTGCTCGAATATGGCCTGGCCATAGCCGGTGTCAACGCTGCGGAAATCGAGAAAATCGAGACAGCACAAAAAAGCTGTATCAAGATGGCGCTTAACCACAAAGCAATGCGACAAATGCCAACAATTGTGCCTATGGTGTTGGCTGACCTGCCGTCGATGTGTATTCATATTCATATGTTGCAGCTCAAGTTTGCAGCCCGTCTCCAAGAACTGCCAACCACAACAATGTTACGGTGTGTTGAGCTGACATATTTGCGACATACACACCCTGACAAGCAATGGTTATCGCTGACATCGTGGAACCTGCTGTACCAATTGTACAAAAGGTTGAAAAACGAAAGAAACGAGGAAAATCCAGTAGGCTGCGCAATCCGAGAAAAAAGAGACGAGGAATTGGTTGTCCGCTGGGAAACCAAGAAAACGGTCCGGGTGCTCCGGTCATCTCGGATGGTAGATCCGACTCTCTATTTGCCAGCACATAGCCAAGATCGACATCGACTGGTAAAGTAGCGCATGTTCTGGCTGCCTCCCTTTCCTGAGCCATCCTGTAGGTGTGGAGAGACACAGGTTAAGCGCGACCATTTTGCTTCCTGTCCGTTTATCCAAGAGCAACTCACTGCGCTCAAAGATGCTTTTGGTCCGATCCCTGCTCTTCCTCTGGATCAGCATATCGTCGACCACATCATGAATTCACTACCACGTTCCGAAGCTAGCCTTCATATAGGCAAATGGCGATTAGCTTGGCCCGTGCTAATCTATTTTCTACGTGAAGTTGACTGTCTTTGTCACCCTGATGGCGACTTTGCATTAGAACCGCCACCAGAAGAAGCCATCAGCTTGCCATCACGGCCTGAGGCAGCAACAACAACACAACAACAATAGCGTAGCACATCTTGCCGCTCACCCACACACTTTTTTCACCACGATATACACACACATCCTCTATTTTCTTTCTATCCCGTCTTTATTGTATCTTATAATACCCTTAGCTAGATAGAAACCCCTCCTGTATTTTCAACACCACCGCTCTCTCATATTCTTATATCTTATCTCCTACGTTCCTGCACAGACCATATACTCTATATGTATATCCTCTCCTATTCCACACTCTCTTTTTTCTCATTCAGGCCAAGCTTTTTCCCCACGTTGGGTTTTTTCAGCTTGTGTCACCAACTCTATTTTTCTTTATATTTAATTTGTCAAAATCATTCACGCACCGCAAGGGAGCGATCAAAATGCCCAATGGCGAGGATCACTTAGTCTTCCACATAATAAAACATATACTTTTCACCTGAGCTAAGATCGGTACGTTCCTGCATAGACCATATACTCTATATGTATATCCTCTCCTATTCCACGCTCTCTTTTTTCTCATTCAGGCCAAGCTTTTTCCCTACGTTGGGTTTTTTTCAGCTTGTGTCACCAACTCTATTTTTCTTTATATTTAAATTGTCAAAATCATTCGTGCACCGCAAGGGAGCGATCAAAATGCCCAATGGCGAGGATCACTTAGTCTTCCACATAATAAAACATATACTTTTTCATCTGAGCTAAGATCAGTTGTTAATTTTTGCATTCAAAAAGTCTGTTATATAGTTTTTTTTTACTGAAACTTTTTCTTTCTTTCTTGATCTGCGGGTGGTTCACTACTGACTGGCTTTAGTACCACACCTATGCAACAACACATGAACGAAGTAGCAAGGGATTTGGTGGCGTATCGCTATTAGTAAGACTGGACCTCAACATGCATTTCTATCAACTCCCCCACTACAACAACAACCCTCTCTTACTCCGACTTAGTATGTATACCATGTATGCCTTGTACTTACCACCAATACTTCTGTACACCACAGTTACTGAATGGCTAGACTATCTCAGCATCAACAACAACACAATCATCGTTGGTGACTTTAATGCACGCATAAGCACTATAGGCGACACTCAAACCAATGCATGCACCAACAATGGTTTCTCATCCTAGCTCTTAGACAACAGCCTCTATATGTGGAACTAGTCTTTGGTGTATGGGCAACCAACTTTCCGAAACTACCAAAGCACCAGCATCATCGACCTCTTCATATCTCGCATACAGGCTGTCAACAATCCATATATAGAGATATATGATAATGTTTCATTATACACACTGCACTACTTTTGTGTGTTTGGATTCGCCCTGTACACTACCATCCCTCGATTACCTGAACCTAATGCAGCATGTGAACACTGGAAACTCCAACGATTTGAGGATCTGGATGTTGTCCGATTGTATGTCGAGGAATTTCGCCGGTTATCCGATCCACTACAAGACCGCCTCTCAAATCGACTTATAAGTGAAGACACCGTCATCCCTGTCGTCGAGATAGAACAGGCTGGTACTGATCTACTCGTGTTGATATATGAAGCACTTGATGCTAGTGTCACACGAGGCAAGATATAGCCAAAGCACTGGTGATGGTTTTGGACCGAAGAGTTACAAGAACGCGTAGACCATCGAGAGGATATGTACCGTCGCTGGCGCCGGTCTCCAGACAATATTGTGGTTAAGGCACAATAATGGTCAGATTTCCAAGCAGCTTGCAGAGCCTTCGACTCCATGTTGAAAAACACTCGTTACTGTCACTGGAAACAATTCTGTACCCAGATTGGCGAAGCACCAGTGGCCGAGATGAATAGTGCTATCAAGTATATGCGTCGCAATCAGCAGACCAGCACCAGCCACACGTTCTTGCATCCAGTTGGGCCTCAGTAGGCAGTTGAGGTCCTAGTATCGCATCTGTCAGGCATGCTTGGTGGTGAGAGGCAACAGTCCTCTCGCTGGTCGATCTGCTTTGGTTGTGAGCAGGATCCTGATGAACCGTTCCACCCTATCGATATCGAAATCGGCATCCGCAAACTCGCTCCTCGCAAAGCACCAGGTGATGACTATACCACTGGTGCAATGGGGATTAATCCTTAACCGTAAATCTTTAAAAGGTTCTATTAATTAAAGATAAATCATTGTTTAAAGATATATAGGAAAAAATAAAAAATTATATTATAATTTTTTTATTTTTAAAACTTATTGCTTTTTTTTAACTTTTTTTTTAATTCTTTAAAAGGTTTAGGTTTTGCATAAACCTTTTTAAACCTTTAAAAGTGTTATATCTTTTTATAATTAAGTTAAAACAGGCTAGGAGGTACGACGACGCCCAGTTCATTTAAAAATCAATGAAGTTAGATTTTTATTTGAACGCTTGACAGAGTAATACAATGACATAATTAATTTACTGTTTATAGTAAAATTAATTGTTATTGATTACTCTTCAATGTTGAAACCAATTGCTGCTCCTCTGGCTATAATACTGGCCAAGCTCTTCACTGTATATTGGCATTAGTCGTGGGTACATGTGTCATGGTGTACTGCCCAAGTCGTCCCGATCTTCAAGAAAGGTGATCCTACCGACACTGGCAATTATTGTCCAATAAGCCTGACCAGCACGTTTCGTAAGCTTCTTGAACGTTATTTGTTGCCGCGGTTACTCGAGCACATGCCAATGCTGTACATTGCACAAGATAGTTTCCGTCACGAACGTGGTGCATTAGATCAGGCGTTTTCATTGAACATGATGGTGCGCCAATTCAAGAAGCATTACGAATTAGATCCTACTATCACTCTTCTTGATATCAAGTCCGCGTACGATTCAGTCGATAGAGACGTCATATGGTCAATGTTGCAGGGAAACCTGCCAAGCGCTCTGTTTCATCTCGTCCGACATCTTTTATCATGAGGTATGGCTGGCCGTCATCCTCCAAAATCATCAGTTTCGACACATTCATCCTCGACGTGGCGTGCTACAAGGGTCTATCCTTAGCCCAATATTGTATGCAGTCTTCATTGATAGTTTGCCGAAACAGCTTCGCATCGCTAATCCAGTACTCACTCGTCCATTGATATTGCGCGCACCACTAATGGAGAATTTGACTGAAGCTTCTGCACAACGCCAACGATACACACAACCAAATCATGGCCGTTCTGAAACACTTCGTCCGGATAGTGAGCTGATCATTGTATCCCCACTATTGTATGCTGACGATGTGGCCTTAATTGCTACTCCTGATGATATGGTTCGATTCCTTGGTGTTGCCGAGCAACATTCGCGAGATTTGGGATATCGATGGCATCCTGCCAAATGCGCGGTCATCGGCCCACCTCCACCAAGAACAACATATGACGACCTTGCCGATGAGCTTGCTGTGCTAGAAAACCGAGAGCCACCTCCTTTAGCATACAAGCTTTACAACACACCAATCCCATCTGTCACCACGTTCAAGTATCTTGGCGTACCTTTCAACCAGGAGGGCCTGGATGGAACATTACTGGTGTCACAAAGGACGCAACTAGCAACAGCGGTGCTATGGCAACACTGCAAAGTCTTGGTATTCACCAATACGCGCTTAGTATCTGGGAAGCTCTACGCTCGTACCGCACTTTTGCAAGACCAGTGCTCGAATATGGCCTGACCATAGCCGGTGTCAACGTTGCGGAAATCGAGAAAATCGAGACAGCACAAAAAAGCTGTATC